AGTTATTGGGAGTGAACCACTAGACGTGTAGGCGAGAGTGTCAATTCCAAACCGAACGATCAATTGTCTGGCTTTACGTTGCGAACTTGAATAAATTATCCCCGATTCCCTAGTTTCTTTATTATTATTTAGTTGGTATTTTAGGATTTATGCTTTTATGCTATTTCTTAGTTGATAGTTAATTCCTCCCAAATCTGATTAGAGTGTTTAGGATTTATTTTTCTTTTTTGTGTTATCAATACCAATTCTAAATTCCGAACCGCCTTCCTCGAGAGATCGACCCGGGAAACGAATCCTTCGATTCGGTACTCGGTAATATAACAATTTGTACACAACAACGTCCCTTTATATAAGGGCAACCTCATGAGAGTGCTCTTTGCGGGCGTCAGGCAGAGGATGATCGACAAGATCTCTGGTTGGTCGCATAGACATCTTTCTTTCGGTGGTCGGCTTGCGCTGATCAAGAGCACTCTTAGCTCTCTTCCAATTCACTTGCTTATGGTCCTCGACCCCCCTAGGTCTACTCTTGATGAGATAGACCAGATTATGGCTCGTTATTTCTGGGGTTACGAGGACGGTTCTGGGAGGGGGAGACGTACCCACTGTGTGAGTTGGGACTCCATCTGTCGCCCCCTTCTCGAGGGTGGGCTTGGCATCCGCCGCCTCATGGACATTGTTACAACTTTCTCATACAAGTTGTGGTTGCGCTTCAGGGAAGGAAAGTCGCTTTGGGCTCAGTACCTTCGCGGCAAGTACTGCCCTAGACGTGCCAACCACCCTTGTTGGGTGACGGCTGTTGATCATGATAGTAGGCAGTGGCGGCGCCTCACTAGGGTTGGCAGACGCGCCCAGGATCACATCTTCGGGGTTCTGGGCGAGGGCGATGTTAGTTTCTGGGATGAGTGATGGGTAGGTGATAGGCCATTGTCTAGGGATATGCAGGTGTCGCACTTCCCCTACCTGCTTGTGAGCGACCTTTGGACGGACGGATCGTGGGATAGGGGGAAGCTTGATAGGGAGTTGGGGTCTGGTGCGGGATTTAGCTGGCATTATTAGATCAGATCCAGCAGATCCCTATCTCGGGGGACGGTTCAGATAGCATGAGGTGGAGACTTACATCATCGGGTGTGTTTTCTACTACCTCGGCTTGGGAGCAGATCAGACTGAGGGATCGGCCTAATCTCCTCTTCGGGGCCATCTGGAGTGACCTTTTCACCCCTACTATTTCGGTGTTCCTTTGGCGCCTCCTCTTGCGCCGGATTCCCGTGGATACTGTACTACACGCGAGGGGGATCTCCTTCCCCTCTCGGTGTGTGTGTTGTTCTGAGACTGGACGGCATGAGACCGAGACCTTTACCCACCTTTTTCTAGAGAGTGAGATTGTGAGGAGAGTGTGGGAGCATTTTACCACTTGGACACATATATCCCTACCCACCACATACAGTTTCTTTGAGCTTCTGAGTTTTTTCTCACAGAGCACACACCTTAGACACGTGGGATTCCTCATTCCTTGTCTGATCCTTTGGTTCACCTGGACAGAAAGGAATAGTGCGAAGCATAGGGATATTACTTTTATGTTTTCTCACATTGTTTTGCAGGTAGAGAGACACATTTCACTCCTCATCGCATTGGGCAGGTTCACGGCCCGAGATTGGACAGGCTGCACGCCACCACATCGCTACATGGTGGCCCCACCCCCACCTGTTCGGCCCCTCGGCCCAGAGCTGTTGCTTGGCTTCGACCTGACTCTCCGTGGGTCAAGCTGAACACTGATGGCTCCTTTGATCGCCACACTGGAGTTATCGGAGGAGGAGGCTTGATCCGGGACCATAGCGGCGACGTCATCACCGCCTTCCACACGTCCTTCAGGCTTCCTCGAGCTATGATGCAAAGATTCAGGCATTACAAATCGGCCTTCAGATTGCTGTCCACCTCTCTAGCCACATTTGGATCGAGCTAGATGTTGCGGCTGTCGCCACCCTTTTGACCTCGGGCCACCAGGGCTCGTGGCAGATTCAGCACACGCTTATGCGTATTAGAGATCTACTCCGGTCTGTCCATCACAGGATCACGCACATTTTCCGTGAGGGGAACAGACCCGCCGACTATCTTGCCAGCCTTGGCGCCACCATACCAGACACACATACATTTCAGACCGACACTGCTCCACTCCGTCTTCGCACCCTTGTACGGATGGACCAGCGTGGATATCCTGCGTTCCGCTTTCACTAGTTTAGGATTTTTGCTTTCATTAGTCTAGACATTTATTTCAGGCATCTGTTAGCCCGATGATCGACTTTGTATTGTAGTTTCTGTTTCTTTTTTGTTTTTCGGTTCTTTTTTTGCTTTTTGTTTTTGATTTTGATTTGTGAGACGATGTAGACTATTGTATCTTGATCGTTGATATTTTGGGCCCCAATTTTGGGGTCCTGATCTATGCACAGGTTGGGGATCTAGCCCAATCCCCCGCCCTTCCGGGGCGTTGTTTGTTTAAAAAAAAAACCTAGCAACAAAACTCAACTAACCTAGCAGAAAGAAATAAATAACCTAGCAACAACAAACAACTAACCTAGCAACAAAACACAACTAACCTAGAAACAATAGACAACTAACCAACCTAGCAGAAAGAAATAAATAACCTAGCAATAACAGACAACTAACCTAGCAACAAAACACAACTAACCTAGCAACAACGGACAACTAACCTAGCAACAACAGACAACTAACCTAGCAGCAAGAAATAAATAACCTGGCAACAAAAGACAATTAACCTAGCAATATCAGACAACTAACCTAGCAGCAAGAAAGAACTAACCTAGCAACAAAAGACAACTAACCTAGCAACAGAAGGCAACAAAAGACAACTAACCTAGTAACAAAAGATAACTAACCTAGCAGAAAGAAAAAAATAACCTAGCAACTTAAGACAACTAACCTAGCAACAAAACACAATTAACCTAGCAGCTAAAGATAACTAACCTAGCAACAAATTAAAGACAGTTAACTTAGCAGCAAGAAAGAAATAACCTAGCAACAAAAGACAACTAACGTAGCAACTACAGACAACTAACCTAGCAACATCAGAAAAATAACCTAGCAACTACAGAGAACTAACCTAGTAACTACTAACCTAACAACTACAGAGAACTAACCTAGCAACTACAGAGAACTAAACTAGCAACTACAGAGAACTAACCTAGTTGGAAGGTTAGTTGTCAACGGTCAACGCCGGAGTCAACGGGTCAAAATAATATTTAAATAATTAAAATAACAAAAAGAAAAGAATAAATCTTGGCCACACATGATATGTACCAAATCTTGTGGCTAAAAATGAGTCTTACGTCTTCACTTTAAATAAGTGGATGCATTGGAACCATTCTCTCTCTCTCTCTCTCTCTCTCTCTCTATATATATATATATATATATATATATATATATATATATAATAGCAATCATCTTGTGCACATGTACATATGTAAATAAAATATTACAAGTTATGTATATGAATATAAAATTAATATATAAGTTAGATAATGAACATATCACATTTTTTAAATTTGATCATTACTAAAAATAAAACAGTATAAATATAAATTATTTAAGTATATATGAATCACTATATTGATTGAAAAAAGTTTATGCGTAATGTAAGTTTTGTTATTTGAGAGATCACGACCATGTAGTTTAGTTGAAAATTTTTTATTATTATTATTGTTGTTGTTGTTGTTGTTGTTGTTTATAAGATGTTACGGTGGTTGACTATGTTATTAAACTATTTAGCTATTTTCTTTTTTAAGAAAATCACTTCATCATACAAAATAAAAAATGTAATATTAATTTTCGAATAAAAAGATTGCAAAAAAACTTGCAATAGAATTTTTAATATTTATGTAATTTCTATATAACATTTAGTGTGAATTATGATTAGTTAGTATCACCACTACTATTAACTATTATATGATATAATAGTAAAAAATATAATTATACTTAATTATAATAATTATAACAGTTTTCTACCATAATTAACTAAAATTTTTAATATTTGCAATATACTTCGAATATTTGGAGGACTTGAGCGGGTTTATGTTGGGTAACAAATAGGCAAGGAGCTACTGGGTTTTGGGTATTCCATAGTGACCCGACAAGAGATTGACTTGCCTACTTGATTAACTAGTTAAGGGGCGGGATTATTTGTAGGCCCAATACAAAATCTATTGAATAGTTAGTTTTTTNAAAAAAAAACAACGAAAAAGGGAGGACAGGTCTTCAGAAGCCCGCCTAGAATACCGGCTAGCAAACGCTAGAATAAAAAAACTAACAAACAACACAAACAACTAACACAACTACAAGACTCCAACAGAGTAATACCCAAGTGTCGGACCCCAACAGGGTAATACCCGATTGTTCGACCCCAACAGGGTCATAAAGTGATACTCGGGCGCACAGATTGACACTCGGGCGCACAGAGGCGAAGAGCCCAAACCAAAAACACATCACACAAACAAAACAGACAAAGAGATACTAACAAAGCACAAACTACAAAACAACACATACAAAACAACATAACACAAAAAATAAAAGACACATAACAAAAATAAAGCCCTTCCAGCCAGCAGCCGAAACCAACCGAACACAACTAGACGCCGACCACCCACACGGACAAGACCCGGTCCAAGTCGCAAGCCAGAAACTGCAGAACCTCGTTCGCCTAACTAGACTCGAGATTGAAAAACCATGGCCCTCCCGAGTGGACAACCACAACACCCGAGCTGGAGATCAATAAACAAGCTCCACCATCCCAACCCCGAAGACCCGAGACCGGGACACAAGACCCAGCCCCAACTTAACTCCGCCAATGAAACCAACAAGCACAAAAGCAGAGAAAACCGGAGAAGGAAGGAAAGCGAAACGGTCCAATCTTAGCCCGACCACCCTTTGTTACCAAATTGTGATCGGAACCGCAGCCCATGGTCTAAAGCTTAGCGGAAAAGCACCGCTGCTCATACTCCGAGGAGCCGCCGGTCAGAACCCATCGTGGCGACCGATAAAGCGGCGAGATCCAAAATGGGCGGATCCGCCGACTCACCCGGGAAGAGGAAGCCGCCCATCCAACGAGCCTTCGAACGCCGGCCGCACGGCCCAGAGAAGCTGCCGCCCCAATGGTCCGGAGGCCCCTGCTGGAGGAAGGCAAACTGGATCTAAGGAAAGCAAATATCATTTTTTTTTCTAGTCGTATATCATATTAAAAGTCAAAATAAACAATTAATTCTACATATTGACATAGATAGTAAATAAAAATACCAAAAAAAAAAAAGAAAAGAAAAACACACTATAAAGAAACGACGGATCCATAAATTTTCATGAGTCATGGCAAAAAATAGTTGAAGAATATTTTTAACCATATTGCACAAAGTACTGATATTAACAATTAAATAAATCGTTGAAGCAATCGAGTATTGATGGGTTCCCTATTCAATTTGTCTTTGACTTGAAGCTCAAAAGTGAAATGGAGAATGAGATCTGGTTATTTGATTTCGTGTTTTTATTATTATTAACAAATATACGCAAAATATTATACAACACCGTTTCCATAATTTAATTTTTGTATAAGTTATAAACAAGTCTTTTTGAAATATAATTTATTACTTTAAAAAAGCCTAAAGATATTATCATTCTAGGTTATGTTATTTTATAAAGAGTTCCTTATGGATGATATCTTACATATAAAAGTATAGTTTTTTTGTCCATGTTTACTAGAACTTTCAAATTTAAACACTTGGCTAACTTAAATTATAAATATATTTTAGAAATTAATAATATTTATATTTGTTATCATTTTTATATATGATAAACTAAATTAATCATATTTCGACAGTCTATAAGTCGGCATTAATATCTTATATATAAAATTAAAATAATGTATCTATCGAATCTCTACCAATAAAAATTTAAATATTTATTAATTATAACTAAAAAATAATAAATTTATTTATCAAGCTTATTATAAACATATTATATGGTATAAATACTTAAAAATACTGTAATACAATGCAATCGAATCTGACAAGTGAGGTGTATAATTTTAAATGAAAAAATAATGTTATTTTGTATGAATTATTTAAAATTTCAAAAAAGAACTTGTATTTATATTATTACAAATATTAAATATAAATTTATAATTAACACATGTAAATATATGAAGTTAACACCAAAAATCAAGCCTAGGCAATTGCCTTGGCCCATATGTGGATCCGCCAGTGCTATAAGCCTATAAAGGTTTCAATTTTATAGTATCTACATATTAAAGGCATATTATTAGTTATGAAGTTAATTCGAGAGCTCTTTTGTTTTCAATTGTTTTAGTTTAATGAATTAAATGCATATGAGTTTTTATATAAATAGGAAAACATATCCAATAAGTTTACCGACGAAAAGGCACTTTTCTAGAAGTGTCTAATGTGAAAAAACCAAATTCAAACTAATCCAGTACCTCTTGGTCTTGGACATGAGCAAGTGCCAATGGAGGCTCTTGATAGAAAATCATCTGTCACAACGTTTGCCTACATGATATGCCTATGAGCTATTGCGTTATTTTTGACTTTGAGATCAATGTTCCTCATATTTCAAATTATTTGACTTATAACTAGTTTCTTATTCAACTTGACTCAAAATTTTCTAAATTTTTCATGAAATGTCAATGAGTACAAAATCAATTGTATCTTATATTTAATCTCACTTATGTGTTAACATATATTTAGTTACACAGATTTTGGTGTGAGGCAGCCAAACCGTTAAGTGAGTCGACCCGCCATCTATGATAAAAAATTCATACTTATACTATCGAATGTCATACTTTGTCATATTTATGTTTTGAGTGTGTGATGTTTTCTAATGAAAGTATGCATTTTAGTGAAAAGTATATGTCCGCCTGATGATTAGTTTGACCTCACACAAGACCCACCAATTTATTACAATAAGATAAATTGTGAATTTTACACCGGTTTCACCTAACAGAAGACTTACCAATTTTTTTATAACAAGATAAATTGTGAATTTTATACCATATTAAGGTCTAATTTTAATGCCAACTTACATTCAAGTTATCTCAGTACTCAAACTATCAAAACTTGCAATTTGTAGATCGACATTTTCCCCCCCAAATCCCTTCAATCAAAAACCCTCGCTCTCGGTCCCTTCTTCCTTCGCCCTCCCACCGGCCGACTTCCGCCGCTTTGCTACACCGTACGGCACCAGGGCTGGCGACATGAAATCCGATGGGCCTTCGGAACTCATCCAGCACGACGCTTCCCCTGTTTCTTGGACAGACGGGAGGGGCTCTGTTGGGGCTGCCATTGTCTTGCTGGCCCACTTGTTGTGGCCGATGTCGATCGCCGTTTTGACGGTGGTCGAACTGTGGTTTGTATCCTCCTCTTTCTTGTTCTCGTCTTATCCCTAATGTTTGGATGGTGGGTACACTACAAAAAAATTATTCTATTCCAACAGAATATTTTTGTTGAAATTTTTGTTATTCCAACTGAAATAATAGCATCGGAATATCTATTGGAATTGACGTTAGAATTCTATTGTAATATATATTCGTTGGAATTTTACATTGAAATTTCATCATTTTCTTATAGTGGTACCTCTGCTGGGGGCGGTCTTCGTCTCGGGGCGCTTTGGGGCCGCAGTCGCCGGATTTTGTTGGGGGAGGAGATTGATGTGGGCCTTTTGGTGTTTGTATGTTGGTGTCTAGTTGTTCCGTAGTTTGGAGCTAGTTAGTCGTCGCTTTGATTGGAGTTTCTGGATCCGAGTCTCGAGCCGTGCTTTCTGCCTTTTGGGTGGGCACCTTCGGTGTGTCGTGTGTGGGGTTCGCCGGGGCTAACTGGCTGGTGGAAAGACCGATATTCTAGTTATAAAGGTTGTAGTTTTTGTTTGTTANAAAAAGTAGCCCGACATTTTTTTCCTGTTAGTACAAATGATGTGCTTTGTAATGGTTATTATAAAATTCTGATCCATGTTATATGTACCATTGATAGTTGCATGTGGTTTAATTAATTGATTTATAAATAAAGATATCTGACGGTGGAATCTGGAAAGTCCGACCTAATTGGCCTGACAAAAGTGAGAAAGACTATATTGAGGCCATATTAAATCCATAACTATTATGCACAGACATGAAAATAAAGCTCACGTGAAAAAGGAGAAAAAAAGAGAATATAGAAATAATACAAACCAACCAAACAAAGCAAAACAGAAAAAAGATATCCCACCCGACAAGAAAGTCAGATTTCTACAACAACTCACTTGTGTTTTAATAAAAAAAAAGTGGCTTCCCATAAAAAAAATAATATATATTAGATTATAATCACTCCAAATCTTAATCTGGGTTTCTTGTGTGTTACCATCATAAAATTATCGTTGACTTGATGTTATATATATATAATGTGGTCCAACAGAACCGATTTTTAAATTGAGAACCATTATTTTTCATTATGCGTTTTGTGTTAATTTGGTGCTATTTATAATTACAATATATTTGATTAAAATAGCAATACAATGTATAATATAACTTTTGTAGATGACAACATGTAAAATTAAAATAATATCATATCCACCGAAAAATAACACCAAATTAAGTATGATTCTTACTCCAGAACTAGTTTTAATTTGAACTAGCTCATATATTATTTGTGTGTGTGTATATATATATAGACTAAGAATTAATGATAAATATTTTATTTTTCCATTTTTTTTATGTTATTCATAGTACGTTATTGTGTTTATCTTGTGGTTCATTTGTGGTAGTAGTATTCTAATCTCTCTCACATTTGATAATTGTGGTAGCTCATATATTATTTTTAATTAATCTAATGATCAAATTACGTGTGTAATGCATATTACACAACTTTTTTTTTTGTTTTAAATATTAATTATTATGCATAAAAAATTATAAAATTATAAGTATTTGCTTTTATAAATAATTACCGCATTATATATTTTGTGCACGTGCACATAATGAAGTATTAGTATGTAATAAGTATGTAACATATCATTCAATTTCGTATTTTTATATTAATTAGTTTATTTACTATTAAATTGATAATACATGTGAAAGAATCAGGGAAAACGGATGATGTCCAATGCACATTAAGCACCATAAAAGATGAGTCTTGGGTACAACTTAGTGAGGTTTTATTTTAAAATCATTTGGTGATAGGGTGAGTTAGGTCTATTTTTCCTATAGAAACAATGATATACAATTCACATGTGATATTCTGATAACATGTAAGTTTAATTATTATTTGATAACATGTAAGTTTAATTATTATTTTTTTAATTTATTGTTTTTTGTACTGTGAGATCATGCTGTATTGTATCATGCATATTGACGATACATGATAAGTACATGTTTTTAGTTGGAATATTTTTAAGTGATTTCAACAAATGTGGCATGTTGAAATTAACCTTCCATTAAAAATTATGTGGAGTTTGACAATTATGACAAAAAAAAAAGGAAAAAAGTAACTGAAATTCTTACAATAATAAGTCGACTAAAGTGATTGTTGGAATCATCAAATTCCAACTGAAATTCCAAGAGAAATTTAACTTCAATAAAAATATTTTATTGTTAATCTCCATTAAAATATCTGTTGAAATTTTTAAAGGAAATAATTTGATAAAATATCTGCTAAATTTCAATTGAAATATTTTGTTGGAATATGATAAATTTTTTTAGTGGTGATCGTGTCTCCATAATCGTTTTTTAATTGCAAATTGTATTCTTTTATGTTGCGAGTTGTGTCAACAATTACTACCAAAATGCAACATAAATCCGATCTCTTTTCCTTAATAAAAAAGAAATGGAAAAGAAGATGGTCAAAGAAATCCAATCAGCATGGTGCGGTGGATATACATCCATTTTTTATTTTCCTTTTAAAAGGAGCTATTTCATCAAATATATTAAGTGACTATTGCAAATTAATTATGTGAATGAATTTTAATTAGGAAAAAGGTCCACAACAAGCAATAAAAGTCCCTAAGAGATGTCAAACGTCATGCACATAAAATAAAAGGACCGATTCGTGTCACTTTACAAGTAAAATAATACAAAATGGCCCTTAATAAACGATTGATTAATTAACAACGTCACTGTTAGTCAATCCTGATTTAATTTGAAGTGAACACACTGTTCGAAATAATAGTTTGTTGAACTTCATTATATAATTTAATAAGCCCACTTTTTTTTTATATAAATAAAAACTTCATTAAAAATAATATAACTGTTTGTTATTTAATTTGTTGCCTTGGCACAAGATCATATCTCACGTCCTTGTCTTGGCAAGATATAGATTTGTATCACCATGAAATAGGGCACAAGGATCTTCATCACAAATGGCGGCATAATCTTAATATGATTTTTTTTTTATGCTTCAATGATTCATGAGCTCTTGAGATATGGAGAAATTCTTTAAGAATAACCTATGATTCTTGTGAAAAGATTTTGTGACAACCTTAAATTTTGATCATTGGCTTATAACATGTTTGTTTTCTAGTCATTTGTATTTTGTGTTGTTTAGATAGGATGTTTCAAAAGAGTGAGTGAAACATGTTTAGGACATGTTTTAAATAATTTTGAACGCAAGACTATAAAGATGTGTGAAAAGAAAAATTTAGGAGTCAAATATATACGAATGTAATTTATAGAAAATACAAATCATTTTATTTTTAATTAATTACCTCTTAAGAACTTTGGGTTGTGTTATGCATGTCTAATTTTGTAATTGTAAGATATGCAATTTGGTAATTCTAAATAACTATGTTTTTTTTAATGGGTTATCATGAAATAAGTTGGTGTAGATTAGTATCTATTATTATTATTATTATTATTATTATTATTATTATTATTATTATTAGCATTATTATTATTAGCATTATTATTTAATAGGTGTCTTAGAGAATAAGTTAGGAATTTAATATTATTGTTTAATATTTAGTAAGAGATATTGTCTTATTAGACAAGTTAAAGTCTAGGGTTAGGAACAAATTCCCAGAAGTGTGGTTGGGAGTAATGGTAAGAGGTGGCAATTAAGTCCAATTTCGTGGCACCTTCCTTCCACCCAAATATTCTCTCTCTCTCTCTCCATACCATATATATATCCATACCATATATATAGTCTATAGAGATACAAACCAAACCCGACCTGACATATACAAAGACGCCGTTTTTTATATCACACTGTGCGCACACACACAGAGCGCACCCAAACGGCATTATATAAAGCGAAGTCGATTCCTGCAACTTTATATTTTTCTTCACACCTCTTCCTCTCATCAATCTCCTCCATATTTTTCCTCTCATGACGTCACCATTCCTCCTATTTCCAGGTCAGCACCTCCTCCTTCTTCTTCTTCTTTTTTTTTTCTTGGATCTCAATAATAATCATGTTTGTTGTGTGACTTATTGTTTGAAGCTGTCAGTTAATTTATCTGCCTTCTATTTTTCTTTGTTATTGTCTAGTGTTTTTTCTGATCGATAAATATAAGTTCTGATGTAAGAAAGTAAATAAATCAAGAAAATGACGCAGCTTGTTGATGATTATTGCAATATTACCAAGTTTAAGTCGAGGCATTATTTGAACTTTGAAAAGAAACCACTTTATATATGCTGCTTTTTTTTTCTTTGATCAATTCCAAAATATTTCCAGTAATTATTTACTAATTTAAATCAGTAAAATTTTTTAGTTAGTTATTATTTACTAATTTTGATCAGGAAAATTTGGTTATTTCAATAGGACTGCATAATCAAGTAATCTTCATAGCTCTTATTATACTAGTAATTTAAATGATAATTATTGGAAACCTCGTGCAATTAATGTGGCATTCAACAAGTATCCAGGGAGTAGATTAAACAATATTATCTCCACAAATTTTTGTGTGGGGCGATTAATGGTTAGACATGTCGATCTATCATATTTTTTTGAATAAACATACATAATCATATTTTTGTTATGTTATGTTTAAATAATTAATGTACACCAGTTATGTATAAACGTTGTATATATATTGAAAATGTAAGGATATCTAACTGGTAAACATATTTTCTTTGATGATACATGATTATATGAATATGATAAAGAAAAGTACGTGTCCGCCAATAATGAATCATTAGAACATATCAGATCAACTCATTATGTTTCTTCTCGAACATTAAACGCAAAATGGTCCCATGAAAGTCAATAGTTTTAGTTGCATCGTTATTTGCGTTTCTTGTTTTACATTAAAAAAAAAAAGTAATTAATTTAATTATATAAATATGTATATAACTAGTATTTGATCGTATGAACAAAATACAAATAAAATTTTATAGGTTATATGTGTATATGTATTATTTTAAATCATAAGTTAAAAAATAAGCATGTCACATTATATAAATATTATCATTAGTAAAAGTGAACATATAAATAGAAATTAAATAACTTGCATATTAATCTTTATATTGATTGTAATACTGTAAATTTGTTAATCTTAACTTATTATGAATAATTAATTAAATAAAGCAATATGGAAGCAATTATTATATCAATTGTATAAGGAATTTAAGAGTTTGGTTGATAGAAAAGACTTGCTTAATGAGCTGGAAAAAAAATTATAATTTAAATAAATATTTTAAAAAAATAAAATAGAATATCATTTCTTGTGATTTGTTGATTAGTTATTAGTAGCTAGTATGTAATAATTTATATAAAAAATATAATTATTCAATTAATGCAACAAGTAGCGGAAAAGAGCTAGAAAACGAATACAATTGTCATAATTTTTTATCAACAGTTATATATACTAGTACTTGATCATGTGCACACGTAAAAATATAAGTATTATAATTTATATGAATACATATAATATTAAAATTATAAGTTAGATAATTGTATCACAATTTAAAATTCTGATAATTAGTAAAACTAAACAATATAAAATATCTAACCACATATGCATCACTATATTGATTCTATAAAATATAATAAATAATGTATTTTTTTTATAATTTTGATAGATCATGAACAATTAATTAGCCAAAAAAATATTAAAATTATTATTATAGTAAATATTTATGTAGTTTTAAGGAATTTGATTATATCATTCAAAACAATTAGCTTATTTTTTAAAAATAAAATCATTTAATTAGATAAGAAAAAAAGACATTATCGATTTTATAATATATAACTTTTGAAAAATTGCATTACAAAATTTTATACTTAGTATCTTTCATATACGAATTAATGTGAAATATAATTAGCTAATTTTAGTAATAGCTATTATATTGTACAATAGTTAAGAAATTATGATTGTTACTTAATCAATATAAAATGTAACGTTTATTACCATTTTTTCTCTCTAAAAAAGAGAGGATAACAAAAATGTGTTATAAATTCTTCGTCTATATATGTATATATATAAATAATAGTAATCATCTTGTGCACATGTACAGATGTAAATAAAATATTACAAATAAAATTAATATATAAGTTAGATAATGAACATATCACATTTTTTAAATTTGATCATTACTAAAAATAAAACAGTATAAATATAAATTATTTAAGTATATAGGAATCACTATATTGATTGAAAAAAGTTTATGCGTAATGTAAGTTTTATTATTTGAGAGATCACGGCCAATTAGTTTAGTTGAAAATTTATTATTATTATTATTATTGTTGTTGTTGTTGTTGTTGTTGTTGTTGTTGTTGTTGTTGTTGTTGTTTATAAGATGTTACGGTGGTTGACTATGCTATTAAACTAATTAGTTATTTTCTTTTTTAAGAAAATCGATTACAACAACAACAACAACATAGCCTTTAGTCACAAGCAAGTCGGGGTAGGCTAGAGATGAAACCCAAGAGAAACACAAAAAGACTCGAACCAAAAGGAAGAGATCGAAAAAAAAAAAAACGAGAGAGAGAGAGAGAGAAAGGAGCAAAAGTCACGGTTCTGGCACGTTGATAGCGAGTATCCAAGCGCTCCTATCTACCGCTAAATCCTTGGAGATATTCCAATCTTTAAGGTCTCTCTTAACCGACTCTTCCCAAGTGAGTTTAGGCCGACCTCTACCTCTCTTGACATCCTCGACCCACTGTAGAACTCCCCTACGCACCGGTGCATCAGGAGGCCTCCGTTGGACATGTCCGAACTGTTGGATTCGCCTGTACCGTACAGGTGATTTGCAGCGAAATAATTTTATTTTTTTTTTATACAAGTATTTATCACATAAATACTTAACCCGTAAATACATAAAGCGAATAAACAGATCGTCATCATTTAAAAACATGTATAAATACAAATTTTGATTTAAAGATAGTTTCGAAGTTACCTTTAACTTGAACTCCTTCAACTTTGACAATGATAGAGGAAATCAATTCCCGGTTTAGTAACGATTAATTCTTCTTGTTACTCACTTTAGGAATCCAATCGTCTTCCCTCTAATAGTATCCACCCTTTTGAAATTCAATCTCGAGAACTAGTTTATTCGCTAGTAGAAACTTCTTGATTTGTTCAATTAGTATCGGAATATTTATTTTAGAGGAGATTATAATTTTAATCTTTATTAAAATTTTCAAGAACTATTCTTGATATGGAAATAATTTTCAAAGTTCAAGAACACTTCTTGATTCACAACTCTTGTGATTTTTCTTTCTCAATTTTTCTTGTTAATACAAGTGTGTAATTTGTACATCACATATGTACACCTAATTATACTAAAACATTTAGATCACAAGATGTCATATTGTATTTTTAAATCATTATTTTATTTAAATTAGATGGCATCTAGATCTAAAGTGATTTTAATAAAAAATATCATTAGATCCCATCTAATAATATTGTATTTATTATTTTAATCTTTAATCAAATTAAAGATTAAATATTATGATCAAAATATATTATTTCACATATATATAAAATCTCCTCTTATTATAATCATATTATAATATGGATTTGAATTTTAAAATCTAATTTTAAAATCCGACTATTAATTTAGTAATTCCATTAATTACTTAATTAATATCCAAAATATAATTAATCAATTAAATTGATTAATTTAGTATATTCCTTTAATTGATATCTAATCAAAATTAGAATTAATTAAATAATCAAATTATTTAATTAATACTTATCAATTAATTCCAACTCTTTAGAAATACTAATTTCAAATGATCTACATTCAAAATTGGGTGTGACCTTTTAGGTTCACTATTAATACTAGTAGTGGGTTTACAACTTTTTTGTAATTTGAATTAATCTTATTACTTCTTATTCATGAAATTAACTCCTTAATTTCAAGAACCCACATATCATGGGAACATCTAGCAAGTAGCATGAATCTAGTATTAAGTGAATAGTGAGTAAACCTTTTCGATTACAAGTCCATACATGTAAAATCCTTTCGACATCCAATTTCCTGATTAAATTTTGGGTATGATTTTATAAGTCGAAACCCAATTGATTTAATAACTATGATTCCATTTCAAGTTTAGTAATTCGTGTATGAATCTCTATTCATCCCGCCTTGGCCAAGGACTTTGAATTACAAACTATGAAACACATAGGAAATTCACTTATCACAGAAGTGTCGAATCCTTTGTTAGCCATTGACAAACCTTCATACATATTAATACAATACCCAAAATATCCTTTTATACGATTGTGCTAGCAACCAAAAGGATAAATCAAAGTAAAGTATAACATGCACAAGATTACCATCGTGCCTCAAAGGATCAATCATGTACTATTGTAACATGAAAATTCTTATTCGACAGAAAAACTTTCATTAAGAATTTTCATACGGTCATGTTCAGTGAACTTGTTCTCTAACAAGCACCTACATATATGAACTTGCGTCCCACGCTAATATTGATGGAATGCAACATTCTTGACCATCAAGCATTCATCATATGTACAAGTCTTTCCGGTTTATTCGATATCCCATCTCGAAATATCCAATGACTTGGAACTGTTTTTAAGCTCACAGCTTTTAAGATATGTTCCATGATCACCATCTCTATGCGCAACCATACCTCATAGCTATAAGTGATCTAGGGACTTTATCATATGTGCAAATATAGGATAAATGCTAATACATAAGATAAATTAATGCCTATTTATTAATATAATTCCAATAGATTGTATTTACAAGTAGAATATGTCCAATATGATTGGAACGCCGGGTATTCTACTCTAACACGAACCACCTCAGCCGATGTTGAACCAATTTCTCCTCAATTGGAGCCACCCCGACTCTATCTCGAATATCTTCATTCCGGATTCTATCCCTTCTTGTGTGCCCGCAGAA